GCAAACACATCCGAGTGGACGACGTCTCATTCAACCTCGAGGCGCTAGGCGGACCGCACAGCGTTGTGACCAGCCAGTGGCACCCTCCTACGTACACCAACACATCCTATACCGTCGATATCTGTGCTCCCTTGAAGCGCAAAGGAGACGTCAAGAAGGAGGAGCAGTGCCCCAGTTTCACAAGAGGTAATGGATTCACGCGAAATCGTTGAGAGTGGCAAGCTCGACCAGTACAGAGCTAACGTGTCTGGACAGTATGTGCCATTGAACGCAACATTCATCCAGGTGACGACAAGAAGGACGAAGTCGAAAAAGTGATACCCATCGCCGGCGAGCTTGGCGACCACGGCGGAAGCAAACTGGACGCCACAGCAGAACGACTCAAGTCGAGCGACTCCAACTCGGACGCGAAGAAGGAGGGCGTCCGCCTGATCCTCAACGGAGGCTCGTACCCGCTGGGTAAGAACGGACGGAACCAAAAGGCCATCATCGAGTTCCTCTGCGACCGTGACAGGACGGGCCTCGAAGGCGAGGTGAAGCCTGAGGACCAGTACGACGGCAGCCAGTTTCGCGCGCGCGAGGAGGGCAAGGAGGGCGAGGATGACGGACCCTCGCCCGACGAGAAGCAGGTTCTGTTGAACGGGACGGCCTTGATCTGGAACAGCTACGGCCCGAACGAGAAGAACGACATGGATGTGCTGAGGTTGACGTGGCACACCAAGTACGCGTGCGAGGACGCGTACGGTAAGCCGCCTGCGGAGGGTGGCAGTGGTGGTGGTGACACGAGCAGCCACTGGGGCTTCTTCACCTGGCTCTTTGTCTTGTAAGTCTGGACGGAATCTTTATGGTGGTTTATCTTCGCACAAACTAACGTCAATGCTTTTTTACAGGGCCTTCCTCGGCATCGCTGCGTACCTCATCTTCGGCTCGTGGCTGAACTACAACCGATACGGTGCTAGGGGCTGGGATCTTTTGCCGCACGGAGACACCATTCGCGACATCCCCTACCTGGTGAAGGACTGGACTAGGAACGTGCTCAACACCGTGAACACTAGCGGTGGCCGGGGCGGATACAGTGCAGTCTAGGTGTGAGAGCTGAGATGATGATCCTCGTCCACATCGTCCGCTTACAAAAGAAAAAGAGATGGCAGGGAAAGAAAGAGGAAAGTGTACATTTTATAGTTGTAAACTGGATTAGTGGCTTCGGTTTCTGGGTTGCATTATTCTCCCGAGCCTAAGTCGCGACTTTGGAGTTGGGACCGGTGTCTGGTCCTCTGGAGCTTTGTCGCATTAGCTGTGCTTGTCTCTCGAGAAATACACATTTGATTGAAATGGACATTTATTTCCGGTGTCGCTGTAGATCTTTGCTAATGGGATTACATATCTAACTTTGGAATACACGACAAGCCAAAGGGTGTATAGGTCCCCTCAACCCCGTTCCTGTCACCAGCCAGCAGGCGCCCGTCTAGGTCGACGGATCAGGTCAAACTGGCTGGGTGGTGGAGCGGTTCATGGTCAACAGCAATCGCCAACCAGCCTTACTCGACGACAGGCTTAGCGCATACGAGAGTACCCGAGTTCGAATCCCAGCATGAGCACCAGAAATTATGTCCCAGCATGAGCACCGAGAGATGTAGCCCCCAGTCCAGCACCGGGGGGGTGAACTCTTTTTTCCTTTCTATATAGAATGGTTTTCCTTCCTGAAGTAGACTTTGACGAAATCTCGCTTGCAAGGGAAATGCAACAACACACTACATTTGTGTTCAAAATACGCGGTGCCCACGCTTTGTGTACGTATGAGGCTGAACGTAGCAGTAATCATATCCCATCACGGAAGGGGCCGCGGGACTAAGATCCGGGTTAGCCTCAAGGTAAGGTTTGGTGGATCCGCGATTCGGTGGGGCCGATTCAACTGACGTGCAGCACGGATGCACCTCATCGAAGCTCGCCTGTCCCGGCTCCATGTACCTGCCCCTCCGGCCCTACCTCACCTCCGTGTACTTCACCCGCGCCATCAAAATAACAGGCATGCCCACCACCCAACACAATTCTGCCGGTGACTCTTCGCCAGGCAACCCAGAAGATCCAGAATATGAAGACTTCCTTGAAGATGAAGAACCTTCACCAGCATTCACACCCGCGCCCCTCCCACCCCTCACAAACGAACCCCAACGACACCCGGATTCCTGCTTGACCCTCTCCCTCCCTCTCATCAAAGCTCTTCGTGCACAACTACCACCCGCGCCGGATCTCACGCTCTCGATTGGTAGTGGGACGGGGCTTGTTGAGGCCCTGCTGGACTCTCTGGTCGATATCCAGGCCCAAGATCCTACTCAAGAAGTCTCTCAGAAGTCACCTGCCCCTGGGAAGCTCAACCTAACCAGCATCGAAATCGCCCCATCCCCAAATAAATACCACCGCAACCACCGCACTGTCCCAGGAACATGGGCGCTCGACCCCGCTGCGGCGGAAGCGAAGGCGTGGATGTTTGTATATCCGAAGCAAGTCGCCCTGGTGCGGAAGTACATGGAGGCCTTTGCTTCTAGCAGTTCTGGTTCCGGGGAGAAGGGGATTGCTGTGGAGACTGTGCTGTACGTCGGTCCAAGAATGGATTGGGATGATTTCCGGGGCGCGTTGGAGCCGTTTGCGGAGGATGTGGAGGTTTGGGACGAGGAGAGGATGGAGAGTGTTGGCGGGCAGGGGTGGGAGTGCGTTGTGAGGGTGACAGTGAAGAGGTGAAGTTGGTGGGAGAGAGGTTTAATGCGTGGAGTCAGAATAGAGGTGGAAGAGAGGTTGTATGCGTAGGGTCAGGATAGAAGGGGAGTCCGGTATGAACGCGAGATTTGAGGCGGAGAGAGGTTCTTGGGTAGGCTTGTAGGTGGTGAGAAGGGTGTACTGCGGGATGCGACTTGAATATGGTATAGTCACCCGCCCAAGTCAAGATCAAGGTCACGAGTGACGGCCGAAGATGGTCATATTCATCTTGGTCTTCTTACTCTAACCTGTCCGACGTCTTCAAATCCTCTCATCAGGATAGCAGCCGCAGACCAAGTCTTAGTATAGTAAGTGAGACGCGTATCCTACTACGGTCGATGGGCGTAGAAAGACGGAAGAAAGGCATCCCTCACATGGTCTAATACGCATGCGCTGCTACGTAGAGGCATCAATCTCTGATCAGCTACTACCAAGACCACGCCTTACGACAAAAGCGGCAGAGCAAAGGACACCAAGAAGCAATAATGATTCCCGACAGCTGGATGGAAGGTCACAATCTCAATAGTATTCCCTGGAAGATTCGCTCATCGACATAAGCACTGCCGAACTTCTCAAAGGGTCGTCGTGTTGCTCACCAGGCCACCCAGCATGAAGAGTCTGGTCTCAATCACGCGTGGCGCTGAAACAGGCCAAGAAGCACCCAGGCACTCTGTGACGGGAGCCGACACCTGCGTGCAATGTCCGCCGCCTTCACCTAATAACCCACTAGATTTGAATGCACGATACATTGGTCTAGATTGTATACTACTAGGGCTACGCAAATGCTAAGCTATGCCAATGATGATCACAACCGCCCCCAACACCTCGCTCCTGAGACGAGGAACACGCTTCTCCCCTCCTCTCCACATTAGAAATTTCCACACAAAACAATAACTACTATGTAGATAGACAAGCGAGTGCAACCTGTTTGGCTTTGGGCTTTTGTGCACACAAAAAAGTATTTACGATATGTATATACAACGAGAGTGTGAGTAGGAAAAGAAAAGCCTTCGAGGTCAACTCTGAGAAGGCTGCCGGGGTCCCTCTTAAGCCGCAGCAGGGGCCGCAGCAGCCGGCATCATCGAGGCAGCAAAGGTGGCAGCCTCATCAGCGTCATTGCCGTACGTCAAGTGAGCGCGGCGGATCTGGTTGCCGCCCTCGCAGATGTTGTCGCCGTTGTGGCAGATGACCTTGGTCTTGGCGGCATCCACGCCCTGGACAGCTTGTCCGTTGACTGTGAAGAAGATGCGTTAGCACTGAGATCAAAACCGTCATGCACCCGTGGAAGGGCTTCATGGAAAGTAACTTACGCGGGTCACCGAAAATAACGGCACCAGCAACCTTGGCTACCATGTCAGGCTGCATCATCGCAGCACCGTTGTGGACGAGCTGTCCACCCTGGGAGTATCCAGACATGATGACGGCCGAGTTGGGGCAGTTGGTGATGGCTTGCTCAGTAAGAGTGGCCATCATTTGGGATCCGTTGGCGTCACCTCCGGCCAAGAAACCGGGGATATCGGCGGGATACTCGACACCCTGGACGGCAAGGCTGCCGCCGACCTGAGTCGCAAGGGACTGGAAGAAGGGCGGGCCGGCAATGGTTCCAACGTTGCCTCCCTCGGTGGTGCCGCGGGCAAAGATGACGATCATGGACTGGCACCCGGCGGCGAGACCATCTTGCTGATTCCCTGAGAAGTCGGCCTGACGGGGCTGGATCGTGAGAGGGGAGGAACTCGCCGTGCCCAGCAGGGCGAGAAGGAAGGCTGCTGTCGAGCTGTGCATTTTGTGTGCTGGTATTGTAAGGACTGATTATTGTAGTTGGCAAAATATTAGTAAGGAGTGAATTTGGATTATCCGATGCTAGCTGAAAGTTGGATCAACAACTATTCAAGGTTCTTGGTCGTCGTCACATGAAATGAAGGGATTACTGGCGACCATCGCACTCTTATAGCGGAGGTAGTGTGAGATCTTCCTTGTTTCTACTCTCGAGTCGCCTAGCCGGCCGGTGAGACGGAGGCGACATTAAGCTTCTTTCCCTCGCCTATTCCGTGTTGGACATTCCTGCAGCACAACGGCTTCAGGTACCGCAACCTCATCCCAATGGGGCAAAGAGGGCGGATCAGAGGCAGGGACCTCACGTGGGATCGACCTGATCCCGACACTAGACGGGGGAGCCAGGGACGGACTCTGCTGATTCTTCTAAAATCGTTGGCTGGTACGCTGGTACCGGCAGATGATGATGATGGTCAGGAGTAGTCCGCCAAGCTGAGCTGAGCCAAACAGGTGGACCCCTCGAAAGCTTGGTGTGCGTGCCTTGCGTTCCAAACTTCCTTCCCGCAGCTTAAGCGGGCTGAAAAGTGCTGTTGACGACTTGACGGGGCAGACAAAATCCTATAACGGCGCGGATTATCGTAGTGCGGGCCGGTTGCGATTGGCTACAGTCTGATTCAAGAGTGAAGCTGGGTCCGATCTCTTGTTGCCCGTGGGGGAGGGAGGGGACGAGTTTCGAAACAACAGGGTGGGCTGTGCGCAACACCAGCGGAAGGGGAGGACACCGACGGTCTCCCAAGCTTTTTCAGAATGTACCGACTGACGTTTGGTGTGGTTTGGTGGGGCTGGATAGGGCGAATGGCGGGATGGAAAACTCGCTGTGGTAGACTGAAGTGGAAGTATCCGTTGAGCTTGGCTGTAGTAGATGGCAGGTCTCTGACAGCGCTTTGTTCTGGTCCCATGTTTTTCCGCCGTTTTTCTTCGTCTTGACCCATTCTTGCTCCAGTCAAGTTGCGAATCATCCCTCCTTGAGTGAAGGAAGGGAGGGCTGGAAAGGTGGCATCGATACCAAGGGCGAGGGTGACCGCTGACGTGCGTTTAGGTAAGACTGGCGTTGGGAGACAGCTGAACCGTCGGATTTCGATGGCCTTCCGTTTGGCCGTCTGGCTCTTTTGCCAAGATCGTCTCGACTTTTTTCTGTCGCTGGTCTTATCATGCTCTCCCTCGACCGGAAGAGGCACTGGACGAAGATCCGGACTTGGGCTCGGGGAAGATGCGGTGAGATGACCCGACGACACGGCATCACTCTCGGCAGTATGGTGGCACCTCATCAACGCAACGGGGCGGTTTCGGCAAGATGATCAGTCGTGACCGAGTAATGGCTGTCCGCGATAGTTATCGACTGGGACTTCAACTAGGCTCGTTCGAGCATGTAAGTTGGAGGTTATCGAGGAAGCCCCGCTCTACGGATATCGATGTCTTGACATGGCAGGTGCCTCGAGGCGTCGATGGGTGCTGCCGATTGTCGTTGACTTGAATTGGAAAAGCATGATGAGGATGGAGAGTTCCTGGGCAGCCAAGAGAGGCCACCAAGAGGACTTTCGTCACACCGAAGTCCAACGGCTTTGGCAGCTACGTACCTGCCCTGGGAGCCTGAGGTGAGGTGGAAGGAGTGGAGGGGCAAAACGTGGGGGATGCGCCAACGCAGGGACATCCGGCAACATCGGGCCCGCTCACGGGAGGGGAATTTAGCCGAGACCCATCATTCAAGGTTGACCTCCACCTTCCGAGGTTCGACGTGGAGCTTATACTGGTCCTGCCGTCCACCGAGGTGTGAGGTAAGATGACCAGCAACTGCGGTTGATCCTTGGAGTCAGTATATACCCTAGACTTACAGTTTGGCCTTGGCCCGGTACACTTGTTGTATGATATGAGATGCTTGGAAAGAACTGTGACCACTTCCGTCAAGGCTTGCCTCACAGTACACATCAAAAACCATCAGCCACGGGTAGATCTCATCGAAACCACTGCCTTACCACAGGTTGACATGCCCACAACAAGAAAGTGCGCTGAAGAAAAAATCTTTCACAATTGGATGTAAGGTCTAAAGAAACGAAGATGGCCTACTTGGGTCTCAATTCAGCACGATCCAACATCGTCGGTGACCATTTTCAGCGAGAGAGATGACCATCATACACCTGGAATTGAGCTTCTTTCTCATATTCAAGTCAGTTAGGGATACGAGACTGTAAATGCTAAAAGTAGTTTGAAACTTCTCAAAACTGCGTGAGATTATCATTGGGAACTAATCTGCCTGGGATGCCATCTTCCCATGTCTCGATCCCTTCAACTATAGTTCCATTCCCTCGCGTTTTCAATAATCTCTCGTCTATATGCCTCCTTTCCCTGATATACTTCTTGGCAACTTGATGTTGTAATCGTCAGAGAGAGTTGTCAATTGAGATACTTGGACTACCGTACGGAATTCGCGCATCCGGATCGACTGACTCCTTAGGACCAACGGGTCTCATCTCGATACGAATGACCTTGTGATCGTTGTTGATGTCCAAGATGATGAGTCTGCGTTGCTTGAAACGTTTGCTATATTTCCCGGGCTCCTGAATGAACTCAACCACGGTGGTAATACGAAAGCGATCGACGATGGTAATCGCTTCTGACACAATGCCGGGGTTCCTCTCGAAGTATTGGGCGACCTCTTCCAGTCCGTGGAAGATCTGGCCAGGAACTTTGATATCCACGAGTAGCGTGACATCGGGAGCGCAGCGCTCTTCGACCGTGACGGAGTTGTATTCGTACAGAGCGGTGATGAGATCATCGGCCAGGGCCTCGTGCATAGCACGGTAAGGCCGATCGCTTGACTGCCCTCTGATCTCGTGTAGCCATCGCTTCAGTTCCTCTGCCTCGGATACGTTATCCATCTTCAAAATGCGTTAGTGCGTTTGACCAGGGATCTCTCAAAGTCGGCTGTCTCTTACATTTGATAGGTGCGAGTGTAGGCCGCGTCTTTCGCGTGTAGAAGATAGGAAGTGCCGGCAGGATTTGATGATACCTTGCCTCGGGAGGAAGGCTTGTTGTTCTGGTAAAGTTTGGGTTATGAAACTCGGAACTGGGAAATTTTCTGCAATAAAAAGGCCAAGCTTGGCTGCTTGGGTGCTCAAGCCCTCTGATTGTTGAAGAGGAAGAAGATTAGAGAGGGTTAGAAGATCGAGAGGATCTTATACTGTGAGAAAGCGGCTGTGGAGACTTCTCGAGGGAAGGTCTGCTCCCTTACGCCTTCCGCTTCTTTTACGGCGGTAGGGCTCTTGAGTGAGGAAGGTGCCACTGGAAGATCATATTTCATATATGGGAGCGAGTCCTAAGACGCAGTTGAAGTCATCACCAAGACGGGGAGGAAGGGAGTGATCCGATAGTATAGAGGCACCTTGCCATGATACACTTTGTTTAGTTCGAAGTTTCATTCATTTTTCATCGCACAAATCCAAGCTTTCAGCAAGTTCATCTCTCAAGACGGCAAGCCTCAAAGCAACTGCTTCTTCAGAACTACAACGCTTCGCTGCTTTGCGTTGCTTGGAATCTAGGTCTAAGTGTCGTCAGGTTTTAAACGCCGGCGCCGAACGAATATTAATTACATGGATCGAAACATCCTTTCATCACATGAAGTTGTGGGGTGGTGAGTCATCACGCTCTCATGAGCGGGTGACGGAGATGGCCTCCTCAACGATATCCAAACCCTGCTGAATCTCCTCCCCGGTGATGGTCAATGGCGGCACGAAACGCAGAGTGTTGGTACCGGCAGTGATGATGAGCAGACCGCGCTCACGGGCGGCCTTGACGATGGGCGTAGGGTCCTGAGTAAGCTGGAGACCGAGGATGAGACCGCGGCCGCGGACCTCCTTGATCAGATCGGGGAAGCGCTCGCGCAGGGCATCGAAGCGGGTCTTGAAGATCTCGGCCTTGGCGGCAACGGCCTTTTGCAGACCGGGGTCGGCGAGGCGGGAGACGATGTTGTGGGCCAGGCGGCAGGCGAGGGGGTTGCCGCCAAAGGTGGTGCCGTGGTCGCCGACCTTGATCTTCTCCGAGACGTTGTTGTTGACGATGGTGGCGCCGATAGGGAAGCCGTTGCCGAGAGCCTTGGCGGTGGTGATGATGTCCGGGTGGGCCTCCTTGGGGAGGTGGGTGTGGGCCCAGAAGGTACCGGTGCGGGAGAGACCGCACTGGATCTCATCGTAGATGAGGACGGCGCCGACCTCGCGGCAGCGCTTGGCCAGGGCGATCAGGAACTCGTCCGTTGCGGGCGTGACGCCGCCCTCGCCCTGAATGGGCTCGACGATGACACCGCAGGTCTTCTCGGTGACGGTCTCGTTGATGGCAGAGACGTCGTTGAATGCTCCGAGTTTGAAGCCGGGCAGCATGGGCGCAAAGGGCTCCTGGTACTTGGGGTTGTGGGTGGCGGACAAGCTGCCCATGGTGCGGCCGTGGAAGGCATTGTTGAAGGAGACGACCTCGTACTTGTCACCTGAGGGCTGGCTGACCTTGGCGGCCTTCCTGGCGAACTTGATGGCGGCCTCGTTGGCCTCGGAGCCGGAGTTGCAGACGAACACCGAGTTAGCGTCGTGCATGGCACCGGCCTCGCGGGTCTTCTCGATCAGCAGCTTGGACAGGGCGCCGGTCCAGGGGTTGTAGTAGAGGTTCGAGGCGTGCATGAGCGTGCTACCCTGTAAGGTTCCGACCATGTACTGTCAGCGCATCTGGTACTAAAATGACTCACGGCGGCTCGGAGTTACCCACCTGCTCGGTCAGAATCTGGGTCAGCTCAGGATCGCAGTGTCCCAAGGCATTGACGGCGATACCAGCGGTGAAGTCGAGGTATTTCCTGCCCTCGACATCCCACAGGAGAGAACCTTGGCCTTGTACGAAGACGGGAGGCGGGCGGGCGTATGTGGCGACCATGTAGGGCGCATGTTCGCGGACGAGAGCGGCGCTCGGGGAGTCTTCGGTGGGATCGGGGTTGGGTACTGATGACTGCTTCTACTCATTGTCAGTGTTAGTCTGGTGGTGAGTCACTCGAATAGTTCGTGACTTCATGGGGTCACCTACGCCGAAGTTGCTCTTGACGTCGCTCGTCGCGGCCGCGGCCGCAGAAGAGAGAGCGCGGGAGTTGATGCGCGAGGCGACGGCCAGACGAGGCTGGCACTTTGCCAATTGGAGTCGCAGAGGAGCACGGAACGCCATTATGGTATCTTGAGGAACAAACAGGACTCTGCGGTAAAAGACTGGCAAAAGAGAGTGGTGTTGAAGAGAAGTCGTCAATTAAAATTTGGGCCGTTCGCGCATGCATGTACAGAGGTGACTCGTCAAACATGTTATCGATAAGGCGCGCATTTTCCCACTTTTTGCGTCGTTTTGGAGGGGCAGATCCACTCTTTCCCGGCGTTACGTGCGCTTTGGTCCGGGGATGTCCCTCCGATCTCGGTCGGGCTCGGACGGACTGCCGATGTTCTTGAAACGGCTGTCTTGCGGGCTTGCCTCTGGGATAAGGCAATTAATCCAGTCCGTCGACCGCCCTACATAGCTAGCATTATGCGCTCAATTGTCATTACATCCTCTTTCTCACAGACAGCGTTCGCGGCTTGCCTAGCTTTTCGGGACACTGCTCATTCAATACCAACGAAGATGGGTCGGCTCTCCACATGAGGTGGGCACAGAACGCTCAAGTACCTACCTTATGGTATTGTATTGCACGTAACCAAAATATTTAGGAAGCAGTATGCCCTTGCTCGATACGCAGGTAAGACGCATTCTCATAAAGCTAACTTGTCAGAATAATAAGTTAGAGGCACGTCCCCGTAGATCTAGGCATTCGTAGCAGGGTAAGCTACGTACGCGCCAGAGCCGAATTGACGACAGAATTGTTCAGTGTCAAAACGCAACTCGATCTTATCACTCGCTAGCATAACTTCAAACCAGTCCCTGACTGCCTCGAAAGGAAAACGCAATCTAGTCTCCTCCACTAGCTTTTGATCGACCTTGAATGCGTTGCATTGGCCGTTCGCAATCTCCACGGTTCGTTTTGGTCCTAACCAACACAAAATCGCGATGAAAGCTTCCTGCGTGATTGGGATACCCCAATGCGTCAGTTCTTCGAAGAATACTTGCCGCACCGGTGCTCTCGCTGCCAGCGAACGCAACGCCCGAACATTCTTTCTTTCACGTATCGCTCTGACCAACTTTTTGGTGATCCACAGGCCATCCTCAGGCATTTTCATAAGGAAAACTGCGGTGGGAAGGTCGCACGAAGTAAGAATAGCAATAAGACTATCCATGCTGAAAGCGAGTTTTGGAGCTCTTGAAGCAAGGAGTTTTCGAAAAGCCGAATTTAACCCCGAAATCTCACATCTGCGTTTGAGGTGCAACACAGCGCTAGGAGTCACCTCGGGTTTCGATAACCCAAGTCTATGGCAAATCAATTTAGCGTCTCCGACATGACCGGCAACCACGAGATCGACCAATCTGTCAGCTGCCAAGGCTGATAATGCATTGAGGAATACGAGCATGTCAGAGCACGGCGATAGCCATGATTCAGTATCGCCTACAAGAATGTAGGCTCCCAAATCACGTATGAGTTGCTCCTCACTCTTCAAGTAGTCTGCTGAAAGCAGCGTTGCCGCAGTACCGTGTTGTGTGTCGGATGCTATGCCAAGCAAGGCGTAAACCATATCGCGTGGGTCCGTTGCTTGCATCGAGCGGAACTGTAGGAGGAGTGTATAAAGAGTCTTTTTCCTCGCTGATGACTTGTTGGATGAACTCGGCATTAAATCCAGTAAGGCCCTCTGTTGGTCATTGAGCTCAATCCCGGCGGCTGATATGGCCAGAACGAACATGTTAGCTGGGATAAATTGATGACCACAGCATATCAGCACCATTCGGGCGTAAGAGACTTCTTGCAGCACCCAGACTCTCGTAAACCATGGCTGTTCCAAGAGATGCTCTAAAGCCTTTCGGAGCCTATCGAGATGACTCGCAATGAAGCTTGGGTTCAATGGCAAAACCGGGCATGAGGCGTTGCCTTCCGTATCCCTTGATTCTCGCCGTGACTTATTCAAGGCGTCCATCAAAAGTATTGTATCTTGCGTCGAGTGCCCCAACCAGACGAGAACTTGCTCCGCTTGTCTGTAAATGCCGGCCATGTGTCCGACCTGATGCCCTCGCTCGGCAAGATTACTCTGGTCAATGCATAGTGCGTCCACCCAGAGTATCCTCGCTTCCTCGGTCCGCAGATGGGTCAATGCCGAAAAGAGGTTTCTCGTGATGGGCAGTCTCTTCCCGCTAGCGGAAATAGATTCGACAAGGTCAGTACAGCCCCATGCATAGGATAGGGCTTCGTAGGGTATGATTTCGTCAGGTTCGAGGCTTGCTTGGAATATATCGCATCTGATCTCGCCCCCTCCTGGATAGAGAATGAGGAGTCGAAATGACCTCAACCCAAGGTCGAGGGGTTCGTATTGGAATGGTTCCATCTCCACTCTCAAGACATCTTTTATTGCGAGCTTCGAATATTGCTTGAAGGGCCTAAAACAAGGCAAAAAGGTGATGGTGCTGATGTCAAACTTGAACCGACCTTCCCTAGATCTGGAGGAGAGCAAGCTTGTTATTTTTCAGGTTCTTCTTACTGGGGCAAGCTGGCTAGCCAAGAGAGGGGGTTTGTCTTACAGCATGCCACGTATTGGCTGAGTTGCCTTTCGAAATGGTTCGCCAATGAATCTGCCTTTTGGGCCTTGGAATCGCCTGAATTACGGCCACGCTTCATGCAGGTAAATCTTACCAATTACATGGAGACCTGCGTGTGGCGGACTCTCGCGCTGTCTCCAACTCCAAATCGCGATTTGCTGAAGACAAGCGCAACAAGAGCGGGCAACTGAGCAAGTGTAAAAAGCCCATGCCAAGGGTTGACAAGACGCAGCGTCACCGTAATTCAAGCCTCGAGCCCTCAATCGAAGAGTCCATCAGCTTGAGTCCTAGATTACGCCTTTTGGCTCCCTTTTGAGGTCTTGCTTGTGTGTATCAATCGACTCTGTCTGTTGCTGTCTAAGAACTGCCTGGCCAAAACTTACAGTCTAGGTAAGTCGGGAATCGTGTGATGGTCACTAGGGCTAGTTGCTATGTGAACTTATCAGAAGCTCAATTGTTTGTGACTTGATTCCGGCCCCCCACTGATCTCTTCCGGGCTGAGACTATCTGCGGATATTTTGAAAGCGGTCCTATAAGAACCTGGGAAGGATATGCATATAGCAAAAGGATCCGCGGAACTAAATTTGACAAAATTAACTATGTTAGCTTCACATTCTCTTTGGATTGAAAAGGGTGTTGTACAAGGAAAGAAAATGTCAATAGAAGTTTCCTCAATTGGAAGTTGGGTCGTTCCAACTTCCACTAGGCACTGTCAGTTCGGGGGTCGGTGTTTCGGGTGCCAAGATACGCGTTCAAGCTGATACTTGACATGATTGACGGATCATGTCTGCGCCGCGATCTTTGACCGGATGTCCTCGTGGGTACTCTAGACGACCACGGCTTTCTTGTCTTGTGCCTGAATAATCGAAATCTTTTTACATCGGTCTTTGAGACCCATTCGTTCCAGTCAATAGTCGCACTTTCACACAAACCGTTGCTAGATTCCGTCTCGACCCTAACTATTCGAGTCATCGTTGGCTCTGACTCGGTGCTACGGATCATGTCGTTCTTCATGTCTTCAATCTCCTTCCTGGTTTGCGATGAGTCTGAATCCGGCATGATGTCTAACAACCAGACAACGCGCTCGGGAGACCCTCCACAAGCAAAGGCCCTCACTTTCTTAAAATGGCTTTCAAGTAGCAACGCCATTTTCCCCGTATCATGGCATCGAATCAATCGCAGCAACGCATCTAAGTCGAATTTTGTCTTCACGGTGTGATCACCCGCAATTCCGATTATTCTATTGAAGATATCGCTCCTGCTGGGGCCTCGGTTGAAATCACGCTCGTAAGCGGCTAAATGAAGAGTGAAGTCGGTGATTCTGTAGATTTGTTTCTGATGTTCAAGAAACAACTTGATAATTGCTACTGAGTGGCAATTATCTATCAATGAATCAAAACCGGTTTGTGTGACTTTGATGGAATGGCGTTTTCGTTCGACGAATAGCTTTGCGACGTTACTTCTGATTTGTTCTCGTTTGAATAAAGCCTCGACAAAATGATGATCGACTAGAACGTCACCTTGAAAAAGGTTTATAACCTTCTCTGCCGTTGCGTAGTCGCAGACCCCAAGCGCGGTCGCCATCCCTTGTGTATCGAATCTCAAATTCTGGTGCTCGAGACCAATCAGGTCGGAGAGGAGTTTGACACCATCACCGCCCTTTCTTATCATCAAACGGACGACCGTTTCTCCATCCACGGTGAATCTTTGGCCTCTATCAAGAAGCGTACGGACATGCTCTGTCAGACCATCAACCACCAAGCTCCTGAGGATTCCTTCTGTCTCTTGGGGTAAGGCTTCGAGGAACGATACCATTGTGTACTCGAAAATGTGCCTCCCAAATTGCAAATCAAGAAACAGATATTTTCTGAGCTCTTCAACGAGCTGCTTCTCGGTTTTGAAGTAGTCTGGCGTGAGAATCCCGTCCGAGTCACCTTCCGGGATGTCAGAGGCTATGGCCACAAGGGCGTAAACCATATCCCTGGGGTCGCTTGCCTTGCTCTTTCGAAACTTTTGCAACAAAATTGGCAATACATCCATTCTTGGGGATCTCTGGGTCGATGAGGTTGGGAATAGATCCAGAACGGCCTGGCACCCAGCCTCAGGAGTCACGCCGACGAGCTTCGCAGCAATATTGAGCATGTAAGCCTGAACGGACCGTCTGCCACAATAGATCGAAGCTGCCCGTGCATTCGAAACTTCCTGTAGAACCCATATCCTCGTGAACCAGTTCTCCCCGAGGAGGGAAATAAGTCCCTTCCGTTGCAGATCGACGAGGACAGCCTGATCTATTTCGGAGTTCTGTCGTATCTTTGACCATTGCTCTTGTGCCTGGACAAGGTCGTCTCGGCTTTTCTGACGGGTCAAGCTTTTCTGACGGGTCAAGCTTTTCTGTAGCTCTTTGAGGCACCCCAGCAAGAGGTTCGTCTCATGTGTAGGCGGGCCAAGCCATATGATGACCTGTTCAGCGCCTCTGTAGATGCCAGCCATCTGTCCGACCTGGTGACCTCGCTCTGCGACGTTGTTTTGGTCGATACAGACAGCGTCGATCCACATGACTTTGCTTACATGGTCGTCTCGGAGATAAGCCAGAGCAGTGAATAAGTTGTTCGTAATACGGAGGGTCTTGCCGTTTGCGATGATGGAGGCTGCGAGGTCAATGCTGCCCCAGGCATATGATAAGGCTTCGTAGGGGATAATGCCGTCGGAGTCCAGGCTTGCTTCAAAGATATCGCAGGATATCTCGCCGGTGGATCCAGGATGGAGCATAAGTAACCGGAAGGATTTCCCCGTGAGGTCTAGGGTTTCGTATTGGAACAGGTCCATGATGTGTCGGGATATTGATGTTTGCGTATTTTTATCGATCTCTGATGGCGGAGCTAGAAAGCTCAACTAAGTCGCAAGAAGTCGGGTTGACTAGAAATGACGCCGAAATAATGTTCATGGTAGGTTTAAAGGTCTCTACATCTGTCTGGGTAACACTATCAGGCTGAGAGAGGGGGTTTGTTGCCTAAAACATAGCTTAGCTGATCACAGTGCCCTGGTTGATTAGTTGCTCAACCAACAAATCTGCCTTGTTACACCGCATGGCTGATGTAGGTATCTCATGCATGAAGTTTTGGCCAATGATAGGCAGCTGTGGTCGTGGATAATCCGCGAATGGTGGCGAAGCCGCTTCGCCTGGCGGGCAGATTTGTATATTGCAACAAAACTTCGCAGTATGGAACTGGTGGATCAAGAACGGGTCGAGTGCAGCATTCTCGCAAGGGCCTCTTCTCGCAGCGCGAAAGCATTGAGACGACATCTTGACGAAGGTGCTACCGGACCTGCGTGGGTAGAGGTATTTGGACTGAACAACTCGGGTCATTGCCACAATACTGCAAGAAACAAATGATCGGCGTTCTCTCGGGTCGGAGTGTCGTCTTAATACGTACAATTCGAAAATCGAAGTTCCATTGATGCTGACATGTCGGGTGCCGGCGTTATCCACGATGCCGGATTGCGTCGGGATTCCGGGTGCTCGTGACCCGTCATGTGGACGTCGAATGCGTTCCTGAGGGAACTCCACTCTACCGAATCCGGGGATACGCGGGTCTGCCTTGATGCTTAGGTAACCCTCCGGGTCAACACTACAACCTGACTGAGGGCCCTGCAGGACAGCAATCTTCAGTGGAGTTGGACAGCGGTTCAGTAGCTGGCAGCAGTGAAACCGGCAAGGGAACAGCGCTAGAAGAGCCAACCGGCGTTGCGTGATTGGACATCCTCGGTGTCGGATCCGGGGTGAATCTTGAAGGGGACTAGCGGCGGAGGCCGCAGTTGCCCGCGTGCCCCTCCAAGGTTCTCCGTACTTGCTGCGTACAGGCTAGAGCTCTAGGTAGGTACTCCGTCCTACCCCGTGCGGGTTGACTCGAGCACCCAGGCCAAACCCACACTGCAGGTGGGTTTGGGCCTCTTCACATGTCAGCTGCCCTTCCCCTCCAAACCCAAACAAACGTCACCATCTCACCTCAGAAGCCAGCAATTGAACCGAGCCCACGCGGAGAGACACACACACAGAGTACTGCGTACACACTCACTCGACCGCTTTCACATTGAAACATGTGCCGCCGGTACCCTGGTCAAGGACCCTCTTTCACGAGCAACGTCGGCCGTTGTTGTCGCTGCTGCTGCCGCTGCTACCGCTCCTCTTCCCATCGTGGTCTTCTTTGACAGCCCCCGTTCGACTCTCAACTACTCCTCTCCGCCATATCCTTCGCGAAACATATCGTCATTCATTCCAGGCACTCGGCTGCTCATCATCTTCGGCTTCTAGCTCCTTGTACCACCACGTACAACCATTCCCCAAACGTGTACGATCCCAAACAACCGGAATCTCTCCGGTCTTCTATTTCGAACCAAGTCCAACTTCGGGTGGCGGTCCGTGGTGTCGAGCCGTCCGTCGCTGCACCTTTTCGCCCGCCGTGCTCGCCAAGCGCTTCTCTGAGCTGCCTGGGACGCATTGCCATGGCCTTTTAGCCCTGGAGCCATCGCATTACTCGCGCTGCGCCGTCCCGTCGACGACTTCCAACGCCATCCATTGTTACCCCCAGCCACAACCTCGTGGTCTTGCGCTGCTCGCTTGGTCAGCCACGCCTCCGGCTGTCCTCGGTGCCTAGATTCATATGACCTTGCGCCGGAATCTGCAACCTACTGCTTCTTCTTTCTCCTCCTTCGTCCACTGCTCTGTTGTTCATCATAGCATACACCAGTCGCCATGATAGACCACGTCCTGGGACGGCCGTCGGTCAAGTCGCGCCGCCTTCAGGTCCTGGCGGTGCTGGCTTTCTGGTCGGCATACATCTTCAGGTAACAAACAACATCCTGAATCTCGTGCAACGCTGTCGTGATAGAAGCTGATGAGATCTTTTGCAGAGGACACCCCCACGGCCCTCCCGTCATCCGCTTCTTCTCCAAGCTCACAACGAAGCGCCTCACAACATGGCAGACCGTCGTGGTCACCATGATCTACCTCTACGCTGCCCGACACTTCAGCACTCTAGTCGGCCTTGCGAGTCCCGAGCCCATGTCCAACATGTACGACGCCACCTACTTCCGCGCAACATGGATCTTGACTGCTCTGGATGCCGGCTTTTGGACCGCCATGAAGATCCGCGCAAAGTGGCTTCGCGACCTGGCCAGCATCGTCTTCTCCGTATTCTACATGTTTGCCGCCGAGAAGGCCGACGAAAAGGTGCGCAAGGTGCGCGGCATGTTGACCGTCGAGCATCTGCGTGTGTCTTGGGACAAAGGAACGACGCCGTACCTGAAATTCTTCCAGGGCCTCATGCGGCCTCGCTTCTCCCGCTGGCCGCCGCGCGCAATCCGCATTCCCCGACCCTCTGGCAGCGATTATAAGGAGCCTGTGTCGGCTTGGCTCTACTTTGATGGACCATTGACGGACCTCGTGCGACACAGCAGAATCATCCTGGATATCCCTGGTGGTGGATTCGTCGCCATGGACCCTCGATGCAACGATGATAAGCTATTTTCATGGGCGTCCAAGACCGGCATGCCAGTTCTTAGCTTGGATTACAAGAAGGCTCCCGAGTTCCCGTACCCCTTCGCTCTGAACGAGTGCTTCGACGTCTACACGACACTTATTCGAAGCAAGGGACGATGCATCGGCATGTCTGGAAGAGAGACACCCCGAATTGTGCTTACAGGTGACAGCGCCGGTGGTAACTTGGCCACGGCAACGACTCTCATGATTGTCGAGAGAACGTCAGTGCCGATGCGTCGCTACTCGAGCACAGGAGATCTGCCATTACCCGACGGATTGGTCTTGTTCTATCCAGCACTTGATATGAACATTGGCAACTGGATGTCAGACGAGCAAATGTCACTTATGAAGGATAGAAGGCTGAGAAGCACGAACCAATCGATCATCAGGCGAAAGAGCATGCAGTACAACGACCTCGTCGGCACACCTCACCATAGTGATGACGAGGAGGACTCCAACAAGCAGTCGACAGAGCTGACGGCCACGGAGGTCCAGATCGCCTCACAACAAGCGCTCGCTAGTCCCCATCCCGAGTTTTCGCATGGCGGTCCACAAAGTATGTCCAACGCAGGATCCTCAGCTCCGGATATCAAGCGTCAGCAGAGCGCATCCCATCACTCGGAACCTCTTCGAACCCGCCTCGCCATGTCGTCCATGATTTCGTACTTCAACGATCGCGTGCTCACGCCCGAGATGATGCGCGCCATGATCATTCTCTATATCGGTCCTCACAATCGACCTGACTTCAGCAAGGACTACCTCCTTTCTCCTGTTCTTACCCCCGACTCCCTCCTTGCGCGCTTCCCTAAGGTCTACTTCCTGACCGGCGAGCGAGACCCTCTGGTCGACGACACCGTCATCTTCTCAGCACGTCTGCGCAAGGTGAAGGAGTCCATGTTCGACCAAGCCCAATCCGAGCGCTCCGACCTTGGCGATGGACTCGAGCCCATCTTCAATCCCAAGGACGTTGCCGAGGTGATGCTGATCCCCGGCATCTCCCACGGCTTCCTTCAGTTCCCGACCGTGTACCCCCCAGCATGGAAGCACTTTGAGAGGTCAGCGGAATGGATCACAGAGATCTTTGCCTCAGCCGACGCCGTACGCGAAAAGGAGAGCCGCGGCCGCAGACGTGTCGGCGGTGGACCCATCACAAACGGCAACAGCGAGGGACGGCACCATAACCGCGTCGAGTCGAGCGGGGATGAGGACAGGCCGCTGGAGATTAGCATGACGAGAGCGAACCGCAAGAATACCCTGACCAAGGAGCCGCAGGTCATGGACGAGAGCGAGTCCATTGTACCCGATGCGAATGGCAAGAAGAAGAATGGCCGCGCGAGGGGCGCAAGTAAGAGTGCGGGCGCGAGCGCGAGCCTCGTAAAGCTGAAAAGTACAGATGACTTATTGGGAAGGAGAATGCAAGGTCTTGCTGGGGGCTTGACTGGCGTCGGGAGGGGACAGGAATGAAGCGGGTGAATGACCTGAAAGTGTCCTTGTACGATGGAGGCGCACAGTATTTATCACGATTTCGAGTCACGAATGTAGCCTCGTTAGGAATGTGTTCTGTCATTGGGTGGCTATAGATGATTTGTAGATTGGATTCGCCAACGAAGCTGTACACATACGTCGGGTAGCACCAAGTTTTGTAGACACCAGTATGATCATGGCCGTGCCTCTTCTGTGTCACTATGTAAGTCTGCCTCCAACAAGGGGTTGATGGTCGTTGACATGGGGTCCAGAGATCTTCTACTGACGACGATCATGGCAAAGTTCGCTGTCGAGAGGATTATGTGAAGCCTTCAGAGAGTGAGGTAAGGCACAATGACACAGCCGCTTGTCTCTCTCCTCGAGAGAACTCTATGATTTATGCTCAGCCTCGGTCATATGCTCACCACCAACCACGTACCCGGACGGCAAGCAGGCGCCTTGGTCATACCTTCCCCTTCTTCACCGAATACCTTTCCGACCACCTGAATAGACATGAATACACACCAGATAGAAAGCCTATATACACCTCCTCAACCCCATTCCCGTCACCAACACAGCAGGCGCCCTCTAGGTCGGGGGTCAGGTCAAAGCTGTGGCGTGGGTGGTGGAGTGGTCAATGGTCAGCAATCACTTTCTACACGCCAACCGGCCTTACTCGACGACAGGCTTAGCGCATACGAGAGTACCCGAGTTTGGATCCCAGCTTGTGCGCCAGAGATGTGGTCCCCGTTCGCCACCGTGGGGGGAGGGGGGTGAACTCTTTTGCTATCCTGGTTGATGTTGGTGGTGATGTCTTTTTGGTGGTGGTTGAGCCCCTTTCAATGCTTTAGGTTGTGTTGTTGCGGCTGCTGCTACTCACTCTATAAATTGGATCAATCCAGAAGAATACTGATCTATCTGCAGGCTATCACCTTCGAAGAACCCTGAGACGGTGCTTTGAGAGTTCATGGCCAAACCTGCCTAACACGAATTTGGCAGTGCTAAGGGCGTGTCACTCTGGTTCTCTACCATCTGAAGTTTAGAGATGGGATCTCACTGGTTTATACGTGATCGGAGGATGTCCCTGTTCTGTTGAACCATAGTCCCATCTTCGTCTCAAGAGGTATGTAAAGGTTGTTGACAGCTCCTGGGGTTGACTACCGTTGTGAGCACTGAGCGCTTCCGCTCTCAGTCGGGGATCATTCTCGTGCGATCTCAAGGGAAGCAGTCCAAGTAGTCGCCATCACGCCTTTCTTGTATATCCGTATCGGGGACTTGTCGCTTGACTGGGTATTTTCTATTTTTTAGGCTCTTAAGATCGGCTACAGGCATTGAAATTGTTATGACAGGGCCTCGGTCGCGGGAATTAGGGGCGTCGAGCTTGTCTTACCAGGTAGATGAATCGTCTGCTGGCCTCTTTGCTCGGGAAGGTAGGTATGATTCATGGTCTTGGGATACATCATCCCGTCGCCAAATTCACGTGAGAGAGCAGCTCAGTACAGGCAGGCACGCAAGACCGGACCGCTTGGCTCACACCTTCCACCTTCTACATTGAATCACACAGGAAGGCCCATATAGGCCTCGTCAAATCCATTCCCGTCACCAGCCAGCAGGCGCCCCCTTGGGGGTCAGGTCAAAACTGGCTGGGTGGTGGAGTGGTTCAAGTCCACGAGCCTACGCGGTGAAGGCTTTGAGAGGTCCCGTGTTCGAGTCCCAGCATGTGCGCCAGAGATGTAGTCCCCATTCGCCACCGGGGGGGCGAACTCTTTTGCTAATCTAGCTATTCAGTTTTGGGTGTGGGGGAGAGGAAACTCTTCTCTTTCGAATGCTTGGTTATTGTTGATGTTCGTTCCTGCCGTTGCTATCGCTTTTGAGAAATGAAAGCGATGTTATTGAATAGGTTCGGGATGAGCAGTTCTTGCCTTCATACCACGGGGTCTCTGGAACTCTAGGATCTATTCCGAGGGTGCTTGGATAGGGTATACTGATCAATCGATGGGTGTGTGACTCATGCTACCTCATCTGTAATCTAGAGGGCTTCCATCAAAATCTTACTGGCCTGGACTTAATTAGCAGATAGGTGTCTGCTTCGTACACCGCTCTAACCCACCTAAGTTCGTCTAGCTCGGATCTCTCGAAGCAAACTGGGATGCCTGGCGCGATTGCTGGATAACTCCGGAGAAGGAGGCAGGCGCAGATGAACGATCTCGTTGCCCACGAGTTTATGGGTACCGCCACGCAACGGAGCTTGGAAGGCCTTGTGCTTATCTAGAAACTCGCGTAGAAGATGATTGGCAGTCGTGGCACTCTGTATACAACGGGAGAGGTCAGCACCTCTCAGTGGTATGACGTAACCTTGGATCTGTTATATTTCTGCCATTGCGAGATCTGACCAACTTGATCTACATCGTGGCCAGGCGTAGAGGGGACCGCGCCCCCTGTCATCGAGTCAATCTGCGACTAGCGGCGACCAACTTGAGAAGCACATGTGAAGAGGTGGATGCAGATGTCTTGATCGGTTGATTCGACTCGGTAGAGATCAGTTTGAAGGGTTGTCATGTGCCCGCGATCTGCTCTTTCGTTTCGGGCCAGCCAAAGACTTGAGACGAGGAAGCTGCCACAGACTGCACAGCATTCTAGTCGAATGCTCCCAGGGCTTGTATTGCCATTCCAGTCGTACAGATAGAACAAGATGAGTTCGTTCTCCAACGACGCGTAGACGGTGCACGATCAGCTTAACCACACGACAAGCCCGCCACGGCGAAGACCACCTCCAGCCATAGCACGGCCTGAACCGGGCCTGCTTTCCAGAAACATCCTACGAATCTGAAGCGTGTCGCACTGTATTCTTCATGCCGTATGGTTCTCTCTAGCACGGGGTCTCTGAGTCTACAGTTTGCTGAGGTATCGCTGACAAACGCGGGCTATCGTCAGTGACAGCGGACTTGAACGAGAGGATCCGGGCAGGATATGACGAAATGCAGAATAGTTTGAGCCTTTGAATGACGTTCAGGGATAACAAAATGAAATTGGAAGAGCTCAATATGAAAGAACAGATGCCAATAGCACCGCGACGAGTTATTTCTTGAGGGATAGTTTGTGTGTATCGCTGGCAGCTTGGCCCACTCCTCTCCTTGGCCGACTCGAATCCACAAGGCGTGAACCACGGCATGACCTCAACCAATCACCCTGAGAATCAGTTGCATAGCATTCGCGGCCTTAGATACCGTATATTCGTGTTCTTGAAGGTGTTCCAGCAAGTGCGCCGATGCTTCTCTGATCAAAGCTATCATCGCTCGAAGTGGAAAAGGGGGGGGGGGGGGAGGGGGGGAGGGAATCGAACAGAGTAAATCGGAGGATATTCCGCAGCTACGTCGAGAACCGCAAACCATTCGCCTGACGGTGATACATCGAGCCTAGCTTCGGAGGTTGATATGCTTACATTGTCGGTGATGGTTGTAAGATATTTCATTAGCTTAGCTCACTTGGACACGTTGAGAGCGTTTGGGCAACGAGAGGGAGTTTACCCCTTTTCCAGCGCTTCGCGATGTACAAGGCCAGCCCAACGATATTCATGGAAGTCTTCATGCAAGTCACCATAGGCATTGTTGAATCTTGAAATGTGTGTTCTTATTTTACTATGTACTCCCAATCGCTAATTTATCTTCAGCGTCGTGATATTCTGGTATCTCCTTCTCAAACCCCCTTTTCCAAAATCGATAGTCCCAGTTGAAGGGGGACCAATGCAACCTCCCTTCGTTGAAATCCTTCCGAGGTAGACAATGACATCACGTCGTGCCTCAAAACCTCATTCATCCAAAAATCAGACATCCGCCCAAACGCCATCAACCCAAGACCTTCTCCCACCCACTCAGCAATACACAGTTTCCAGCCCCTTTAAGCCTTACCAGCATACTTCTTCACAACAGCCTCAATCTCCCCCTTCAAAACCTCCTTCCTCTCCTCAGAGCACCAGCTCCCCTCCACACTCCCAACAGCAATCCCCTTCCACTCCTCGATGCTCAACCCAAACGCCTCCTGCACGGCGCAGTAATTCTCAAGGATATATCCCCCAAAGTACGCAGGGTCGTCGCTGTTGATGCTAAACCGCACCCCCTTGTCCAAGAACTCCCGAATCGGCATCTCCTTCATCTCCCTGACGCCCCTCAACACCACATTCGAAATCGGACACAGACTCAACAGCGTCTTATCCCGCGCCAACCGCGCCAACAGCTCAGGGCTCTCCGCCGACCGCCGCCCGTGATCGATGCGCGTTACGCCGCAGTCGTCGAGCGCCTGCACGACGCACTCGGCCGGCGCCTCCTCGCCCGCGTGCGCCGTCGCCCGCACCCCCGCCGCCCGCACCGCGTCGTAGATGGACGTCCACATCTTGGGCGGGTACGGCGCCTCGCTGCTCGACATGCCCACGCCCGCAATCGTGCCGTCGGCAAAGTGGCCCGCGTCCCGGGCCTCGACAAACATGCGCAGCCCGTCCTCGACGGTGCAGTGCCGCAAGAAGCAGACGATATACTCAACCGTCAGCCCCTCGAAATCCCGCTGCGCACGCTCCTTTGCGCGCCTCAAGCCCTCGATGACGGTCTCGTACGCGACGCCGCGGCACGTGTGCGCCTGCGGATCGAAAAACACCTCCGCGTGACGCACGTTTTGCGAGTGCGCCTTCTTGAGATAGGCATAGCCCAGCTCCTCGAAATCGGTCACGGTCAGGAGCACGGAGAATCCGATAAAGTAGTAGTGCAAGAAGTCGTCGAGCGAGGAAAAGTTGCGGTACCGCTCGTACAGGGCCTCGACGCTGGCGAAGGCGGGATCCTTGTCGACGGGCAGGGCGATGTTGTTCTGTGCGGCCAGGTGGAACAGCAGCTCGGGCCCCAGGGAGCCCTCGATGTGAATGTGGTGCTCGCACTTTGGGAGATCGACCAGGAAGTCGTGGAGGTTGTCCTTGCACATCGTGGGCGGGATATGCGTGTCTTGAATGTGTGGGTGTGGGTGTGGGGTGTGTGCGAGTGTGTTGAGTATGATGATGAGGGGGGCCCCAGATGTCTGAAGTTGCAGAGTCTGTGTGTCGTTTTGTTGGAGATGCTTTAGATAGAGAGAGTGAGAGGTCGTTGTCGGTTCTGCAGATGAAAACGACGAATGATGGGATGAAGTTTGGAGGCGATGCGATGCGATGCGATGCGCCGGAGAGAAGTCGCAAAAAGATGAGAGGTGTATTTTAGTAGAAAGATGTTTCACCCGGAAAAGTTTGCTCAAAAAATCTTCTCGACAGGTTTCTGCCTTTGCCTTTTGTGTCGTTCACGAACAAAAATAGATTTTGTTGGAGAACTTCTAGAAAAGTCTTGTAGACGAACGCACGGCTTGGTATCTGCCACCAAAAGTTTCTTTCTTATCCGTGTTGTGTCATATCATTGGATTTTGTTTTCTTTCACTTCCAGTTTTTTTACGTTTTGCCTCTCGTTTTGGTGACAATGACCCGAATTTGTCTCCATATTCGCAGGTTTACGTTATCAGGTTCCCCTCGTTGTCGGCGAGCGCCGTGTTTCTTTCTGCAGCGGAAGACGGCGAAGGTTCGGCCCAGTCTTCGTTCGCCCGCTTGGCTGTGTCCGGCTTCCGACCGAGTATAAGTGGTTCTGGCTAACGCTGTTAGCCTCGGGAATATCCATCCAAGATAACAAAGGGATTTTAGACACAATGGAGTGATGGCCGATAGTACTAAAAGAGACTGAAAAGAGGGCAGTAATGAGCCTCCACGGCTGTCGGAGAAACAACGATTCCAAAACGACTAGCATTGACCACAAGGCAAGAGATCGCGAGAACGAGGGACCTGTGAAAAGGGGTTCCCCTGATCAAGAAACTTCCCGTGCCACGGATCCGGAGGCGAGCCTTCGCCAGAACGCTTCTCTCCCACACCCATTCCCACGCTCTCTCCAACC